AAAAAAAAAAAAAAAAACTTCAGCTGCCTAATTTCATCGACTTGGTAACAGCCCTGTAGACGGGCCTTCCAGGCGAATGTAATCATACATAACGCCCGTAAAAGGACTTCCGCCTCTCGCTTGCTTTAGATAGATTATGTTATTTCCATTCACAAGCTGGGATCCCATTACATTAACACTATAAAGCCAATACCTCCCGTGATTACCGTGCCTTGCAATCGCATTGTCCTTTCCTATCCGCCCTGTCGTAAATTGGGCGCTCTTTCTATTCGGGTCGTTCACTCTTACCTAGTACCAATACAGCTAAATAAGACACTAACTTTCAAGGCTTTATTTAAATCGAGGATTAATGTCGATAATTATTCATTTAATTTTCCGTACTTGTATTTCAGCTAAGGTGGCAGATGCCAGAGCAAGCCTGAGCGTGTAGTTTTCATTCCTCGAGACATTTTTCACGTCAAATGAAATATTCCATGTTGTTGGCATATACTTCTTTTTGTCTGCCTTCCTGGAAAAAAGAGTCAGTTGAAGTTTGATTAGGACAACTATATAAATAGCTGTGTTTAAAATCATAAAAAAGTGGACAAAAATAGAACCTGTTGACATGAGCGAAAAACCAGTCTTTCCGAAAATCGCTCACCCCAACCAGATACCCGAGATCATGTGTAGGGTATAAATCTGTGTATCTGTCCCATAAACCATATTGTCTGAACCTGGATCGTGAATAATTTATGATAATCAGCACAAAAGTTGTTAATAGTACAAATAAAACTACTTTGTATGTTCACAATAAATCGATAGCTCCTTACTTTTCAGGATACTTGATGTATAACTTGTTCATAAACTCAGGGGCAGGATCGGAAATGTAGAACTCAGAAGCCGTTCGATCAGGAATCCCGATTTCCCATAGAGTGGGACCGTTTCTTGGAGGATCATACACAAGCTCACCTATTTGAATTTCTTCCCCTGCTTGGTTTTGTGTATGTGAGTCAATTAGTCTATTTATTTATTTATTTACTTTTTGGTTATGACGGTGTTACATATAACTAATACAAAATCAAAAGGACCTGATCGGATGGTAACATTTTTATCATGTCTAAAGTCTCCAATAAACCCTGGCACCCAAGCATACAAATTATAAGTGTCCGATCGAATGTTTCTTATCCTGAAGTAGCCATTTTCATCAGTTTGTGTCCAAAATTGATAGCCCTGAACAAGAAAATAGGCAAAAATTAGAGGCTTTTTCTACTAATTCTAGTAAACGACATTATTATTTGAACGAATTTGATTTAATAATTATTAAATAACCTCAGCATCATCTTGCCAGGACCCCACGTCTCCAGGTCGAGCCAATCCCACATATGCTGATTTTGCCGGAAAATGATCTTTGTTAATGTACCTGTCATTGACTAATAAACGACCATTAAATGTACCACGTTGATTTGAACGAGGGAAGTCGTTCGATAACGGGAAGTCGTAAGGCCATTTCTTGGATTCTGCAGACATCTGATTCGTGAAAAATGCCGGCATATATGTTAACTTTTTGGAAAAATCATGAAAAAAGAATCAAGAACTTGGTTTTATTGTATAATCTACAAAAATGACCTGTTTTTTGGCATCTTCCCAAAGTGTACTTGGTTTGTCCACTGAATTCGAGTTCAGGTATATGAAAACGGGTCCAAAAACCTTTTTCCACTGCTCTCCATTACGCAATGTAACCCCAAAAGTTGGACCAGAATAATGGTTGCTAAAGAATATCTGTATATTTGTTCATAATTTGCAGAGACAAATAAAATGAGTACTTAAATGGAAATTCTTGACTATTCTCCATATCAATGTTAACTCCTAAATTTTTTTTCTGGCATCTTTGGCAACAAATGGATCTCGAACTTAAAATCACATGGATTAAGCGGTGGTACTTACTGCTAAGGAAGTTGGACCAGCATGAGAAGTAAGATCAGGTTTAACAGGACCACCCGCTCGAAACTCATCACTTGGTGTAATGACCCAAAATCCTACGTGTCGGTTAGCACTTATCCAACCGTGCACATGGCTATCCTTGTTCTCACACGAGTATTGATACTTGTCATCCACCTGGATAGTTATTTCACACTTCAACTTTTGTGCACATAAATGTATATATAATCTTTTCTTCTAATTATTACTATTTTAGTAAAAAAAGCCCTTACCTCTTCTATGAGTTTGGAATCGACAGGATTTCTGACTAAAACAGCTTCTTTATAGTCGAGCGTTCGCCCTTGTTTTCGGTTATCGTCTGTTGGCATGATCCTCTGCCTGTCGTCCGATATAACCATGTAGTGAAACCTAATCATGCAGTTTTAATGATAAAAGTCTTGTTCAAACCTTCATTCATGTAATTCATCATAGATGTATCTGACACAGTTAACTTCTTATTAAAAGTATTTGTTCATATTCATAAGTGGAACTGTTACGTGTTCTTGTCAAGCTTAAACGCGATTCTTGCTTCATCAATGTTCAGATCAGGCCAACCTTTCTTGTGTTCGAATATTGCATATGAGTAGAACCCTGAAACTCCTCGAAGCATTATGAACCTACACAAATAATTCGGCATAATTTAGGACATACCCTTTTAACACATAAAAGGTGCAATTGTTATCCTTACAAAAATTGCTACGACTGTAAAGAAATATATAACTGTGTACACTAGAAATATCTTTTGTCTATATTGAGAGGAAGACCACTTACGCCAAGGGACACGTTCCATGTTATATTAAACGAAACTTCTAATTGCTCTTTAGTTAGTGATATGACCCTGAAACTTGTGCTGTGGAGCCTACACAAGCAAGAGAAAAAGAAGCATAAAAATGTTCAGAATATCCCGAAAATTCTTACGTTAAAATTGTAACAAGATTTCGTTTCTTGAAATTCTCGAGAATGGACTTTTACATGTCGAAATTGCTTTGGTTTTTCTCTGGCCTACTCCATACAATATCCCAATACCTGCATTAGTTCACAAATTAAATCGACCATTTTATTCATAAAAAAACCAAAAAAAACAAAAATTGCACTATGCATCCCTAAGCGTTTAGCGTCTTATAAAATATCGACAAATCATTAAAATTTAAAGCACGATATATATGGCTTTTATTGGAACAAAAGCTTTTTTGCATACCCTCTTTGTGTTTCTTTATTCTTGTATTCGAGGACATTGTTGACTCCACCGTACGATATGCCTGAGATCAAGCCAGACGGTTTTGTTAACTCGAGTTTAACGATGCCGTTATCCATCACAACCTAAATGCGAAACACAAAGTACTCAATGAGAATGAAGATCTGTTAGCTTGTACAAAAATGCAATGTGCAAAAGGTGCCTAAAAAAATGTATCAAAGTTCTTTCAGTCATTTCATCAAACAGATTGAAGGCAATTTTTATAATGTAATCAATTGTTGGCTCACATAGTCATGTGATCTACGGAGCTTGACTGAAGAAGATGAGCATCTATGGCTATCAACAGACGACCTGCATGAGTTATTGTTATAAGTTTTATCTACGAAAAAAAAAGAAAAAAATTCACAAATAAGCATCGAAGTCAATATGGGAGATGTTACCGTCCCGTTACGGAAACAATTGGGGTTTGTAACCGTTAGATCATCATATAATATAATCGTCGAGGATAGTTAATCTAACGGTTACAAACATCAGTGAAATGATTCCGTGACGGGAACGTAGCATTTCCTTCAATATGAAACGTAACTCTAACCACCATATATGTAAATAAATAAAATGATTATTCATTAACATTCATAATTCTTATATATACAAATAAAAAATTTGTATTTATTTAAAATAGTATTGCTTTTCCGAAAAAAAAAAAAAAATTGTTGCTCAATAAGAATTTTATTGCTATATCCTTTTGAAAATATTTTTACCAATCTGGTGAGACTTTTATTTTTATTTTATTATTTAGTGCCATATCAATAATTTATCTGAATCAATTAATTAAACTTTCCAAAATATTTTAATATACTATTTTTTTTCTACAAAATCTATTTTAAAATTTTAGTGATGTGATATTAATAATTGAGATTATTAATTATTTATAAAGTATATATTAATAAGTTTATTAGTTATTGCACATATAAAGTAAACTTAAATTTAGTGTTAGATATTAATTTATAAATAGTAAACTATTCTCAAGTAAATACAATAAAATATAAGCATATGTATAATAAAATATATTTAGTAAAATGATCTAAAATAATATTGAGTATGTTTATCTCTCATGAATTTAAAACGTTAATGCTAAAAAAATATAAAAATAAGTAAATAATTATTTTGAAGATCAAGTATATACAATATTACAATGGTAAATTAAGTCATTTGTTGAATTTTCATGTATATTATTAGATTAGAAAAGAAAAATTAAAATATATATAATATACATTATTATGAAAGTTATAAAGATAAACTAAAATAATTTTGAAATAATAAAAAAAATAATAATTTTTCACCTTTAGAATAATATATAATACATTCTTTTTAAAGTATGTGACAATTTATAATATTAGGCATAATTTCAGTTTTACCATCATGTAATTAGAAAATGAAATAATACATTGTAATAAGGTATGAGTTATGTAAGAGAGAGAAATATTTTTGTGAGTATTATTTATTTCTATTGTTTAAATGTTTAATTTATAAGTTCGTTAATTATAAGTATGAACTTTAAAATGACAAATATTTTACGGGTGAAATAAATGAATAAATCACAAACTAAATTAATATATACATGTATATATTGTTGGAAAAAATAATGATTGTAAAGGCGAATTAAGAACGAGTTCAACACATATACGTATTAAGAATTTGAAAATAGAAACCACAAACATTCAACCACGGGAACGTGAGATGAAACCAGATTTCTATTAGTAAATAAATAACTTTATTATAAAATTAAATAACTTAACTGACTGTTCTATATTGTTATAGAACACATATAGCCGAATCACAGAAACAATCTGTTTGCCTTGAAGAAACAGACGCCCCGAGACGGCTCAAAGTGTGAAGACTGCACTATCTAACACACTTACCTCGATCAAAAGCTCAGTCGCCAAGAACTCTTAATTTTTCTTAGACTTGTAGAGAATGAAAGAGAATATAAGTATATGTTTCTTTCTTTTCCTTCACTTGGTTGGTGTGTCATTACCGTATGCTTGCATGCACTTTTTATAGTGCTTCCAAGACAAGCATGCATTCAATGAAGTGGAGATTATTCAATGCCTTCATTAAGGCAAAGTTAATGAAACATTGAGTTTCATTTGCACTCCTCAAAACCGAACACGGTTTTGTTTTCTCCACAAAGAATTTGGATAATACATTAGTAACATTAATGTTATCCTTTACTTACAACATTAAAAACACCATCTAAGGATTCTCACAATTCTCTTTTCACATGTAACGTAATTACAACAATCCCCCACAAATCCTTAGATAATAATTATCAGGGTCATCATAAGTTGCTTTCAGTAATGGTACCTTCCGGTTTGAACCACTACCTAAGTTATCCAACTTCTGTCATCACCGAAATGAATGGATCTAAGCCTTGAATTCATGTCGTGAGTGTAATGACGTTCATTAGTAACAACAACTTATAGGCTATGTTCTGATCTTTAGGGTTGACACATTAGGCCATATGTCACGATCCTGTTCATGAGTATCTTCAAGGAATAACCCTTTCCCCTAGTTGCGGCCAAACAACTATACTCATTTAGTTGGGAACTTCCAAAGATGCACTGCTTACATCTTGTTTAGAAAACTCGACCCCATTCAGAGATAAACTCTTACTATACTTGCAGTTAACAACACCTTCCAGGTATGCTAGGGAAAGAACACGTCATACTTTATATATAAAGTATTAGTCTTATAGCTTTAGGTGCACAATGATACATTCAACAGCTTGTTTATACCACATTGAACCTTCCTTGTGGGATCTCCACTTGGAAGGTTGGGTTGCTACTGCAGATGCATCTCATATGGGTTATTTAGTCCTATCCCTAACCTGGATTTTTGCACTAAGGATAGATAAAGTCCTTTAGTCAAAGGATCAGCCAAGTTGTCTTTAGAATTAACAAAGTCAACGGCCATAACCTTATCAGACACTAATTCCCTTATAGACTTTAGTCTAACTTGGATGTGTCTCTTTGTTTTCTGATTGAACTTTTGACTTCTTATTTTTGCAATTGTGGTTTGACTATCACAATGCACTGGTATCGGAGGTAAAGGCTTGCTCACAATGGGTAGTTGCAACAACAACCCATACAACCATTCTGACTCCATTCCAGTCGTGTCCAATGCACATAACTCAGCCTCAAAAGTAGACCGTGTTACCAAAGTCTGTTTGGTAGACTTCCAGGAGACAGCGCCCCCACCCAAGGTAAATACATACCCTGTACATCCGTTCGTTCCGGAATCTTTAGCTATCCAGCTAGCATCACTATATCCCTCAAGTACACCAGGGAATTTGCTATAATGTATAGCCAGTGATATTGTGCCTTCAAGATACCGAAGTACCCTATCCAAGGCTTCCCAGTGAGTTCTGTTAGGACAACTTGTATATCTAGCTAACTTTGACACAGAAAACGAAATATCTGGTCTCGTACCATTAGCTAAATATTGCAAGCTTCCAATAATTTGAGAATATCTCAATTGAGCTACAGAAACACCACTTTCATTTTTGAAATGAGCCACAGATGGATCATATGGAGTTTTAGCAATTCTACAATCATTATAACCATATTTCTCAATTATCTTCTCAACATAATGAGATTGAGAAATGGCTATACCTTTAGTTGAACGAATCAACTTAAGGCCAAGAATTACATTTGCCTCTCCCATATCCTTCATTTCAAATTTACTCTTTAGAAAAAATTTAGTCTCTTCAATTATTTCATAAGCAGATCCTATTAACAGAATATCATCTACATATAGACATAAGATTATACAATTATCACCTTTAACCTTATAGTATATGCACTTATCATTATCATTTATCACAAAGCCGAATGATAAGATAGTTTTATCAAACTTTTCATGCAATTATTTAGGTGCTTGTTTCAAACCATAAAGAGATTTAACAAGCTTACAAACTTTATGCTCGTTACCGGGAGCTATAAACCCCTCAGGATGATCCATGTATATTTCTTCATCAAGATCTCCATGTAAAAAGGCAGTTTTTGCATCCATCTGATGAATATAGAGGTTATACACAGAAGTCAAGGCTATGAGCACACAGATTGTAGTTAAACGAGCAACAGGTGAATAGGTATCAAAGTAATCTATTCCCTCTTTCTGCTTAAAACCTTTGGCAACCAATCTGGCTTTAAACTTATCAATGGTTCCATCAGAATTAAGTTTCTTTTTGAAAATCCATTTACAACCAATTGTATTACACCCCGGAGGTAGTTCAACTAACTCCCATGTCCCACTAGAGACAATAGAGTCAATCTCACTTTTGATAGCTACTTTCCAATGCTTAGCTTCTGGTGAAGTCATAGCATCTTTGAAAGTTATTGGCTCGTCCTCGATATTGTAAGTGATAAAATCACTTCCAAAATCCTTAACGATCCTAGCTCGTTTACTCCGTCTAGGTTCATCCAATTCTGTTTGTAAAGAATCCAAACCACTTAGATTACCCCCCACATTTGTCATCTTTTCCACATGTTCAGGAATTGATGATGATGTAAGGGCCGCATCCAAGACATCATTTTGGGGTATTCCCGTTTTCATAGGAAAAACATCCTCAAAGAATGTAGCATCACGAAGTTCAACAATTGTGTTTACATCTATGCCAATAATTTCTGATTTAACAACCAAAAATCTAAAAGCATAGCTAGTTTCCACACATCCCAAAAAGACCGCATTAATAGTTTTAGGTCCTAGCTTTTTCCTTTTGTGCTCAGGTACTAGAACTTTTGCAAGACAGCCCCACACACGAAAGTACTTTAAGCTAGGTTTCCTACCTTTTCATGATTCAAATGGAGTTATTTCATTGTGTTTCAGAGGGACTCTATTCAGAATATGGCAAGCCGTATTCAAAGCCTCTCCCCACATGTATTTAGGCAATCCAGAATTCAACAAAAGACCATTGATCATATCTTTAAATGTTCTATTTTTCCGTTCTGCAACCCCATTAGACTGAGGAGAATATGGAGGAGTTTCTTCATGAATTATGCCAAAATTTCGACAATATTCACCAAAGGGGTTAGATTCATATTCTCCACCTCTGTCT